CCCCCCCCCCCCCCACGCTGCGCAAAAGAACATGTATTTGAGGCTTTGGGTCGGCACCGTCATACTTAGTGGTTGCAGGGTGGCCTCAAGGAAGTCATCTTTTGTGAGGCTGCTTTTCGGGATGCCGGCTACTATTTTACAAGCTTTTTATTGCCCGGCATTAAGAGTTGATCGCGGGGCGGGTGATGGGTCTCAGTGCCATATTTCTATGCCCTACATTGCCTTGGCCTGCGCTAGAGCCAAGTAGAAGGCACGCAATATGTCTCACTTTGGCCCCCAGCTGCAGGACGAGACGGCCGCTAGCTGCATGAGCCGCTGATTGATCTGCTTTTGCAGGTGCGCTACATGAGAGCCCCTTCCGCGGTAGTTCCGGAATGCAGNGCTAGCTGCATGAGCCGCTGATTGATCTGCTTTTGCAGGTGCGCTACATGAGAGCCCCTTCCGCGGTAGTTCCGGAATGCAGTTCCCAACCGGGTCGGGAGATACTTCGTGGCGACAGACGCGCCATTGTAGAAGAAAGAAAGGGGGTTCGTATTTTTTATCCCGAAGAAAATACAACTTCGTCTTGCTCGCATTAACTTTCATGAAGTATTGTTTTGGCCACCATGCCACCACGTTTGGGCCCTCTTGTGGGGTGGTGGTCGTGGTCTCTCGGTCGCTGTGTCAGGCAATCAGGGTGAGGTCATCCGCAAAGAAGCCGTGGCATAGTAGCGGGACTTCAGCTAATTGGATGCTGAGAGAATTCATGACAATAATAAACATGAGTGACCCAAGAACCGCGCCTTGTGGTACACCTCTCGCGAAGGACAGCGTCAAGGAGTGCACCTTTTTTACGCGAGCTACTGCCGCCCTATTGCGCAGAAGGAATGCAGAGCACCGCGCTATATGTTGTGGTATGCCAAGCCGTCGCATTTCGAATACGATTTTATCATTCCCCACTCTGCCGAATGCTTTGGCGTAGTCTACAAACGCTGCGGCCGTTCTGTCCTTAGGTATTGGGCGGCGCATTGTTGCTCGAAGGTGCAATGGTTGGTCCAGTGTGGGGTGGGGTGGTCGGAATCCCGACTGCTGTGGTTTGGGCGCTGGCTTCATAGCGTCGCGAATGCGTGCTGCCATGGTGCGCCCCACAAGCTTGCAGAGGCAACTTGTCAGCGTGACGAGCCTGCGCGGCGCTATGCCTTTCATTTTTGCTTGGTTTGAGGAGTGGGGTTATAATCCCGTGCCTCCGGCTATGCGGAACGACGCCAGTGCGCAAGATCTTATTGTGGAGCGTCGGGGTGGGGTGTTTGGCGCATTTTTCAAGGTCCCGCAGCGCCTCACCATGTATCAGGCCAGGTCCCGGTGCAGATCCCAGCGGCCGGAGGCGCAGGACGCGATCTAGTTCGGCCATTGTTATTCACTGAAAATCCTCATCCCTTGTTTTGGTTGGGAGTGGGGAGTAATATTATGGGCACCTTTGCGCTATTGCAGCATACATGTGGGCCAGATGGCTAGTTTTTTTTTGTGTTTTGAAAGCACAACCCCATTTGCCTTGACGGCTGGTGCGCTGGGGGTGGTGCATGCACGCCGTATGGTCTGCCAGCTGTTGCCGTTGGAAACTTCAAGGTTCGAGCGGAGCGTTCGCCACCGGGTAGTAGCAGCTGCGCGAAGAAGTTCCCTGCGTCAAATCTTAGGCCGCTGGCTGGGTTGGGCGTGTGGCTTGCTGGCAATTGCCTTATCCAAGTCCGCCAGCTCAGGGGCCCAGAACGGGGACTGGCATCGATTGCCCTCCGGCACCGGTGTCTTTGTGGAAAGCCGTATTCCAGAGGTGGTGCGCTTCTCTGTGGTGTCTATGGGGTTCATGACTTGTTTTAGCTCGCAGTGTAAGTTGGTCAGTTTGCGGAACTTCGACCAGTTTGCTTTCTTCCATACAATCAATGTCTTGCGGATCGGCGGCACTTCTATTGCGGAGTGCCATCCTCTCCCACCTGGGCAGTAAAAGTGATGGTGTGGTGGTCGCTGTCCGGGGTGGGTCGCGCTGTCGAATCTGTCACTATGCATTCTTTTGCCAGTGTTGCATCTGGCGCGGAGCCCCTATACCTATCTCTGCGCCGTGTCTCATTTCCAGTGTTGGCGGCAAGGAACTCATTTCCAATGCGCCATTGCACAACGACACCGCATCTGGAACTAGGCGGGGCTTCGTTGTCCCATGCAAATGCGTGTGCGGTGACGTCTGCGCCTATAAGCTGTGCCTCCTCTTTGTTGGTGAGTCTATCGAGGTCCTCTGGGGTGATTTTGGTGGCGACAAGGGGGGGGGGTACGCTGAAATCGTCAGCTTCATACCTTTGCCGGGGTTGATGGCCACTTTTGCGAGCCCAGTGCCTGCAACAAGCGCCGGTCCTTTCTCTAAGTGCATATCGTCCATGGTGGGGGTTGGTGCGCCACCGCGGCAGGTGCGAGCCACCCCATGCTTTTGACACCCAGGTTGCCCGAAACCAGCTGCTGGACGGTGGGGGGCATTTTTGCCCCGCTCAGTGGGCAAAGCGCGGCGTTATCACCATAGGGCCGCTTTCCCATCGCCAGGCGTTCTGCTTGCGTTTGGCCGGCTGGGTTTTGCGGAATGCCCCTCGGGGTGCGGCCAGGACCCTCTTCGAGATTCCCCCTCGGCGACAGCCCGGTGCGGGTGGTGCTGTTGTTGGTGCTGTTGGGGGTGCTGTTGGTGGCGCGGCGGCGCGCGTCCCAAGACCGACAAGGGCAAAACCGTTCCGCCGCAAGATGCGGCTGTGCCGGGTGCCGCGCTATGCTGCAAGCCTGGCGCCGCAAAGTTCTCCGGGTGGCGGGTTTCGCCGGCTTTCTCTGGGCGCTGCGGGGCGCTTGGCCTTGCCGCCGCGGCGGGGCAGCCGGCCCCGTCTTGCTTTGGAATTGCTGTTTTTGTGGTGTTTTTGGGTGTCTCGCGGCGGTGTTTTTTTGGCGGAAGGCGGTTTTTGAGGAGCCAAGGCCGCTCTGGCTGGCGGTGCGGTGGCGGGGCGTTCGCTGTTTTGCGGGGCTTCCCGTGGCTCCTTGTGCACGAAAGTGCGGAAGGCGCGATGACAGATAGGGCCGCGGGGTTCCCAGCTTAGGAAAAGGCAAGGGGGTGAGTACTGGCGTGGTGCGTTGGGTGCGAAAAAAAAAAGGTGTTTTGTCATGTTTCTTAGGCTTTTTTAAAAAACAAAATAAGCATTCAGTGTTGCGCATCTTTCATTGCGTGCGAATCCATTTTCTTTTGGATTTACACTGAACTCTTGTTAAATCATGTAATTTTTTTTCTTTTCCCTTGTTTTAATTTTAAGAGAGAATGGCTACCGAAGTCGGCTGTTGTAACGAGCCCATATTTTTTGTTTTAGGTGCCACAGGGAGTGGAAAGTCCCTCGCCGCGGTGAAAGTTGCACAGACACTACAGCATCATTCTGGATATGAGCGTGTTATAGTTGTGAACTGTGATGTTATGCAGTTTTACGCCGATCTTCCGATTGCAACAAATAAGATCTCTTCGGCTGAAATGGAGGGCATTCCTCATTTTTTCATGGGCTTTCTTTCTCCAAAGGGGGTGAAGATCAGAGACCCTACAGTGGCCTATAAGGGGTGTGACAGAGAGAAATGTGGTGCCACAGCTGAGAGAGGAAAACAAGAGTTGTACAATGTTCACTCATACGTGCGCGATGCTGTGGATTTCATTAGAAATTTTTTCCAGGAAAATCCCTTCGGTGCCGTTGTTGTTTGCGGTGGGACGTGCTACTACGCCCAGGCGCTTATGTTTGACAACGTCTTAACTGAAGAGGATCTTGACGATTCTCTTTTTCCGGATTCTAGTGTGGCCTCTTCCTCGTGTGTAGAAAATCGCGAAGGTGATGGGCTTTGGAAAGAGCTTGCCCAAGTTGATCCTGTCGTTGCGGTTCGATATCACCCTAACGATAAAAGACGTATTAGTCGACTTATTGAGATTTATAAAAAAACAGGACGGCCACCGTCAGAAATATATGCTACAAGGCCCAGTCCTTGTTTTCGCTTCAGTCCGGCGAGGTGCTTCGTTTTGTGGCCATGTGTCACGTTTGAAAAACTTAGGACGATGTTGGACAAAAGAGTGGATAAAATGGTCGAAAGGGGTATTGTTCAAGAATTTATTGAGTTTGCTCAAACACAAGTAAAAAGTGACCTTGATGTTGGGTTGGCCAAGGCTATTGGGTTCAAAGAGTTTCTCCCTGCATTTGACGTTATAAACGGTGAGTTCCGGTTAAAAGAGGACGTAGAATTAAAAAAATCTATTGAATTACTGAAAACGAACACAAAAAGATATGCCCGACAGCAAATTCAGTGGATAAAAAACCGTTTTCTTGGTCAGCTTCGAGACGTTTTCACGTCCACACAAGGCACTCGCCAGTTTGTATGCGTTGATGCTTCAAATACAGAGTCAGAGTTTATTGAAACTGTTGAGAGTGCAACGAAGCTTTTGGTAACCTTCAATTTGCAACAAGGTAAGAATTTAACCTTTCCGCTAAATCAAATCCGGGAGCCGTTGGTATCCGTCAAACAAGAATGGTGCCACTTATGTGAGATGTTTGTGTGTGGAGGTGAAAAAATGAGGTTGCATTTAGCATCAAAGCGTCATCGAGGTGCTGTGAAACACGTTGCGTTAGTAAAAGAACAGCAGGAAAAGTATGGCCGTGTGATTCCACCGAAAAGACGCCGTTTATCTTGAGACTGTTTCCAACATTTCGTTATTATTGTTATTATTATTATCATTATTGTTATTGTTATTCATTTTTGTTGGATATTTATTATTATGATAATGGACTGCTTGGTTATGTAGGTATGTTGTTTGTTTTGTGTTTCTTTGCATCTACTTCAGGTAGAAAGAGGCGTTCATACAAATACGCTTAGGCTCTCACACGCATTCATTCATTTATATAACGTTACAAAGAGAAGCTAAATACGGGTGAAAACATGAGTCAGATTTCTGAACGGGTGCAGTTGTATATTGCTCTGGGTTACCTTGCTGCCAGTGCCGTTTTCGTTGTTTATCTTGGTGGTCGACGACTTTTTCAACGTACGCTTGAAATGAAGAAAACACATGGTAACCCTGATGAGGTTATGGGAACTGGTGACGCAATGGCACTCCCTGTGATGGGATCAATGGTTCTTTTCTCTATTTATGTGCTTCTGCGATTTGTTCCATTGGAGTACTTCAATGCCGTGGTGTCCTTTTACTTGAGTGTCATTGGCATTTTTTGCCTGGGATCATTCATCAAGGCCTATGTGCGTCCGAATATTTTGACTGGTATCACCTGCTGTGTAGTGGGAGGAGTCTATTACTGGACCAACAGCTGGATAGCGAATAATTTATTGTCGGTGGCAATCGGTGTTACAGCCATTGAAGCAGTTCATATAGGTTCTTTTAAAAGTGCGTTTGTACTGTTGATTGGCCTCTTTTTGTACGACATATTCTGGGTTTTCGGATCTGATGTAATGCTTACGGTGGCGAGTGGTGTCAATGGTCCGATCAAGCTCCTTTTTCCCCGCACAGTGTTTGGAGATCACCAGTCGAAGAGTCTATTGGGATTGGGTGACCTTATCATTCCAGGTTTCTTTATCGCGCAAACACTCATTTTCTCTTCCGAGTATGTCAAGAGAGGGAGCTATTATTTCCATGTAGCTCTTGTTGCATATGCGCTAAGTCTGGCGAATACTATGGGCGTCATGATTATCTTTGAGCATGGACAGCCGGCACTGCTGTTCATCGTTCCCTGGTTGCTTATTACGTTTTTGGTGGCAGCCATGATAAAAGGTGATTTGAAAGCTGCGTTTGTCTACACATCCGATGATGTTACAGAACCCACTCCTGATACGAAGAAAGAGACAAGTGAAGGTGCCACGGTGGATAGATCGGAGAATGATGTTGCCGATGATAATGATGGTGATGATGACTCTTTGATAGACTTTTTATTGTGTGCAACATTGGAGTTGTTCGGTTGGGAATCCAAAAAAAAGAAGGAACATTCTAACAAGGTGAGCCTTAAGAAAAAAAATAGCTGACAATTGTCTGTCGGGCGCCTGGGCTGATTGCATTTTTCTTGCTTGAAATGAGATACGCGTTTGCGAGGATGTGCGTGCTTTTAATGCAAGTTCATTTTTTTTCTTAATTGCTTACAAAAGTGGTAGCTATGACCTAAATCAAAACAGACCGAATTCTTATTTTCCTCCACTTTCTATTTTCTTTTTTCTTTTTTTTTGCTTACGCAAAACAAACACATAAAAAAAAACAGAAAACAAGGCGATTTCTTCTTAGAAACTAAAATTATTTTCCCTTTTCGCCCTCCGGGTAAAAGTCGAGTTGCGTCGCTTTTTACAGATATAAAGATATTAGTGGAAAATTTGAATAGGCACAGTAGTGTATTTAGGCCCACCAAAAACAGAGGAAAAAGGAACAAAACGAAAAAAAAACCAGACAGGGAAGCAAAGCGGGGAGCCGAGGGATTTTATAGGGGATGTTAAAGGTATGCAGGGGGCGGTTTTCGGCTGTAGCCCCTTCAAAAGTGAATGGACAATCGAAAGCAGCATACTACACCAATGTCGCATGGGAGGGAATTCGTCACGTATACCACGGTTTTCGATTGTTTTTCCTAAACACGCGGTTGGCTTGGAAATATTCCCGGCAACTGAGGGCAGGTGTCGCTCTTACCCGCCGGGAGCGACAACTATTGGAAGGCGCTACAAAAGATCTGCTTCGACTTGTCCCTTTTAGTTTCTTCATTGTGGTCCCGTTTGCGGAGCTTTTGCTCCCGGTTGCGTTAAAAATGTTTCCTGATTTGATTCCCTCAACTTTTGAGACAGAGAGCCAAGGCCGTAACCGAGCCTTTTCAACTGCGATGGGGACTCTGCGTGCACGACAACGCGTGATGGAGTATTTGACGACTACAGCATTCGTTAGCTTTACAAAGGAGCAACAAGAGGTGGTGCGCAACTGTGCTACGGGAGAAGCTCTAAATGCAGCTCAAATACGATTGATAGCTCCTCACTTTGGTCGTGATGGACCACTTAGTGTTTACAGTATTCCAGACAATATTGCATTAGGGTTGGCGAGAAAGGTTGGCGTGTTCAAGACCTATCATGGCTTTTTCCCGAGCAAAGTCATGGCCCCTTACATGCGACGAAAGATTATTCGTCACTATCATAATACTCGTGAGGACGACCGTTTACTGCGACTTGAGGGGCTTGATGATTTGACCCGTGAAGAATTGATCAAGGCGAATATTGTAAGGGGGATGCGGTGGTCAGAGGACGCCGAAACGCTCCGCATTCAATTGGAATGGTGGATCTCACTTGGCCGGGACCCTGATGTTCCGTACAACACTCTGTTCTGGGTTAAGCCTACCCGATACAGTCTAAAAGATTCTATGAAGCGGTTGCCTGTTGAGCAGCGTCGCCAGTTGCTAGGTATTCAGTCTTTCCCTGAGAGTATCCGTGGAAACCTTGAGACACTCTGTGAGACGGTTGATACAGCTCCTGCCTTGAGTGAGGATGTGAGGGATGCTGACCAGATTGTGGAGAAGCTTGAAGATGTAAGTGCCAGGGCGAAAAACAGCGACAAGGATATAGCTATTCAGGACATCCAAATTTCTCTAGGCGCGTATTTGACGGAGGCGAATGTGAAGATGATGTTTGAACGAATTCGCAAGGATAAAACAGCGACTGAAAATGTGACGGTGGCAGATACCATTGACTTCATTGGAAATGAAACACACAATTCATCGCATGTAGTGTCTACCGTGTTTGACGCATTCGATCAGGGTAGTGGGACGAAACCTATCACAGAGGCTACACTTGTTTCCATTGGAGCTCGTTGTAGAGAAGCCTCAAAACTGCATACTGAAGACAAACCTCAATTGCCGCCAGTTGAATCACCGTCGGATGTGAATAAACACAAATAAAAACCGCGAGATTTTTGTATTTTTCTGCGCAGGAGACTTAAAGTCGAAAAAAGGCCTTGGGCTGCACTAAAATACTTGCAGTTTTCTGGGAAAAAATATATTCTTCTGCATGTTCACGTCTTCAGCTTCTCAGACGTGCTCTGGCGGGTAGAAAAACTACCTTAGGCTCATCCGGATGTCTCCTTTCTCTTGAAGTATTAAGGAAGTTGGACAGTTATATTTGTAGCTTGTTTTTCTTCTTTACACTAACTGCATTGCAGTTAAAAGAGATGTTATAGGGGAGTTGGGGGGGAGAGAGCTCTACAGGCCTTTGCGTCGCGCTTTTGTTTATTTCAGCGCGTACGTACGTGTACTAACGAAGGAGAATGAATCACACAACTACTCACGTCTAGTCAAATAGACGAGATGGAACTCGATGTGGCAATATTCAATAGGTTTTCACGTATGCCACAGCATAAAGCTTCATTTCATCTTCGTTTCTTAGATTAATGCAGGATATGAAGAGAAATTCTGATGACATGAAGAAGAAAAACACATGACCCGACAGTGATCCCAAATATTGAAAACCTCAGACACCTGAGGAAGGCGATTCGTAGTCTTTGATTTGACTTTGTGAATTTGGCCTTTTTTTTGTACATCCGTCGCATCCACTTTCTCCTCAAGGCAGAAGCCAGTACCGTGGCAGCAATGAGCGAAGATGAAGGATGGGGACATCAAGGAAAACGCAGAAAAAAAGAAGGATGTTAAAAAAATCTCGTGTCCAACGTTCTTGCAATTTGCACGTTGTTTGGACATGGAATGAAGGATGCCTCGGCCAAATTATGTTAATGTTTTGCCTATCTGGTATGCGGTGGATCATTTTGGTGGTGGTAGTGGTGGTGAGCACGAAAAATTGGAGTACTACATGTCCAGTCAATGCACTTCCAACGAACGGGGGTGATGCTCCTTTTGGTGCTGGTGCTTGACTATTTTCTCTGTTACCTGAGTTAAGAATGATAAAGGCGGAGAAATCGTTCAAATTGCTTTTTTTTGTTGTATTATGCGAAACATTTTCTTTCTCCTGATCATAAGTCTTCACCGCAATTTTTAAAATGCCATTTCCCTTTTTTTTAAAAATAGTTTTCACCCTACTATGCGACCAGAGATGTATACTGGTTCTGGTAGTGGATTGGGGGAGAGAACGCCACTAGTGGCAGACAAAGACATGTCTCACCGATGCGAGTCCGGGTCACTTGCGTTTTCAAGGTGTGTTGGTGAAACGTGGCCGGTGTATGATGCCGAAGAACGGTTTCTACGTTCTGTCTTTTGTGTTGGAGGACTGACAATCTGTGTTGTCGAGGCAACTGTTATAACGCGCCCGAGACTTAGCCGTTGCTTCCCAAGATTCTGGCCTTCAACGAAGTACTGCAATGCTGCTGTGGCGTTGTTGCGTGAGGGTGGCCTACACGTCATTGCCGATGTTGATGGTGTGGCGGGGAAACACCTTTTGCGTATCATGACGGGTAGCAATTCGTGCACGTCAGGCTCAGTTCTTGCCAACGGCGTCCCTGTTGAGGCTGGTGTATTTCGCAAAGCGGTCGGTGTTATTGGCGATGTGAAAACGCCCATGCCAAATTTAACAGTGGAGCAAAACATCAATTTCGTCGTTTCCATGCGGACAAAAAAGACTGGAGACTCAAGGGAGACCCTGGTGGAGGCAGCCTGCGTCCTCACGGAGTTGGATCGTCGTAAGACCGCAAAACGGCTCACGCTTTCAGAGGGATTTCGCCTTCGTCTTGCCATGGAGATTGTGCGGAATCCCCCGGTCATTGTGGCGTACTGCCCCCTTGACAGTCTTGGCCTCGCTGATGCAGCAGAGTGCACTGCTGTATTGAAAAGGGTATCGACAATACTGAAAAAAACAGTGATAATTTCAACCAAAAATTTGGCGACAAATTTGTTTACTGCCGCGGACACAGTGCTGTTGTTTGGACGCGGTGGCCACGTGCTTTACTCTGGTGAGGCGGCTGAGATGCCTTCTTATTTCAACAGTCTTCCAATTTCCCCGCATCTGTCCCCTTATGACAACAACACATATGAGGGCAGAAGGGTAGGCCACGATACATCCTCGGCAGCCTATGATTATTCCCGCGAGTCTGTCCCTTCAGTGATAGAGAGCGACATGTCTGATAATAAGGAAAAAAATCTTTCGGCACCTTCTTGTGCGACCCGGGAGACGAGAAGCATAGGGGCTGCAGATTTGGTCTTGTGTGGGGGTGACGCTCTTGACATGGCCACATGGTGGGCTGAAAGCGAAGCCACCACTCAGTTTTATTCGTTGAAGTTCCACGAGTCACGTATGTGCCGTCAATTATTGCGGGAGATCACACGTTTCTCTACCCCACCACAATATGTTGGTGACGTGACGCCTTTCACAGCAATTGCGTCCCCTCAGTATGCGATTTGGAAACCAGTTCTTCTTTGGTGGTACGATACCCTGCAGATATGGCGAGGGGGTGAAGTGTATATTCACTTAGCCTTATTGTCACTTGGCTTATTAGGGATATCTCTCTTGATGCATCACCAGGAAGAGGACCAGGGAGGCATGTACAACATAAGAGGCATTCAATTCGTTTTATTCCTCCTGACTATGATAGCAAATGTGACAGCGACGAGTGATATGGATCGTCAGTTGCACTTGTTTTTTCATCAGCGCAACAGTGGACTCTATAACACACTCTGCTTTATGGTAGTGTTTGTCTTACAAACTATTATCATAAGAGCGGTATATCTAGTTATGTTCGTCCCTGTCGTTCTGTTTATTGTGAAGATGAAGGCTCCGTTTTTGCTTCTCGTTGGTGCTCTAAGTGTTACTGACGCGTTTCTACACGTGACAGTGCATACGCTTGTGCCTTATAAACGGGGGGCCACTCTGGCACTGAGGTTGTATTTGGGCTACTGTATCCTTTTTTCTGGGTTTTTGTTGAACTTGAATTCGATGCCGGGAACTGTAGGGAAGCTGAGTGTGCTTCGCTGGGGATATGGCGCCGCGTTGGCACAGAGCCTGCGGAACAAGCCGTTTAGTTGCGATGGTGCGGGAAACACGTCCTACTGCTATAGTGGCAACACGTACTTGAAGCTTGAAGGGTTTTCAAACGAATCCACAGGTCTTTCATTAACAGTGTTTGGTGCGGTGTCTGGGACGCTAGTTCTCATCATGGGAATTGCCTTGGCGTGCAGGGGTTGATCTTATTTCTGTGATTTGGGAGGAGATAGCCATGTGAGGGCTTTGCTGGTTGTTGTCTTTTTGCCATGGAATGATGGAAAAGGGGTTGATGGTGAGTGGAGCGAAAAAAAAAATCTGAAGAAAAAAGTAGGAAAAATAGAAGAGCTGTACAGTGGAAAGATTAAGTAAAAAGTATCATTTGAATCCCTCTAAATGGTGTTTGATTTTCGTTATCTTTGTTTAGACGAGAAATTAAAGAAAACAAAATAGAAGATACAAAACAGAAAGGCGCTGCCATCTGAAAGGGTGAAGAAGTCTGGGGTGTTATGGCGCACAGCACCACGAGTGCTGACGGCATGGATGACACCGGTACTGGCGCGGCATACAGCACAGATGAGGCGGCAGCGGTGTCTACCGCACCCCATTGTGCAGGCCACAAGCGTTCCAGGTCTTTACGCCTAACGACAACCTCTGCGGAAGAGGTCTTTAGCGATGTTTGTGAGTACTCTGATGTTGTGGAACACAGCAATCGACTGCTAGAGCTCTTACGTGTGCGACGACGAGGGCAAGAAAGTGGCGGAGCGAGCACTTCAACAGAAGGCATTGATAGACATAATGGCATTGTAACCAGCATAAAAGGGAGTGAAGCGCACTGTGTTCAGCCCGCATCGTTTAGTGTGGTTAAAATGCCTCTTGTAAGACGGGAAACCTCAACGGATGATGTGCTGATCCAACACGAGAGGAAACCTGGGGCCCACTGGGTCACAACTCATTCGGTCGGCACACAAACCCAAACACTTACCTCTGAGCCCAGTGACCAGCTGATGGTTCCAGCCATGTCGAGAGTTGATTTCTTGATGCTTCGGTTGTGTGAGTTGGATGCCTTGCTTCACATATTTTTTTCCTGAGCTGATCTCACAGCCTCCGTGGTTATCTGTCGCACGACTGCAAAACCCAGGAAAATGGATGACTGCAGAATCCTCCCATTTCCTTATTTTCATTCCTCCTTCCCTCCCATGTTCTCCGTCATCACGCCAGAACTTGATTTTTTATCCCTGACAGTAGTAGAAAATAAACCGTTAACGCTTTATTTTACGTCTTTCTATTCAACCAATACAGGAAAGAAACAAGGAAAAAACGGGCTTTTGCATATAACAAATGGCATCCTTAACTTTGAAACACTACTTGCAGGAAGAACTGGAGCGGCGTTTTCGTCTTGCTACGCCGCGAGATCTTTTTCGCCAGCGAACCCCAACTATTGGTGGGGGGGATGTGAAGCAAAAGGCGGAGGAAATACGAAACTACGTGCATAACACCATGGACCTTTACGAGAAAGTTTTTGAAAGTGTAGCATTCGAGGAAGCTTTCTTTGTACCGCCCATTCATAAACTTCGTCACCCGTTGATCTTCTACTACGGCCACACGGCCTGCTTTTACATAAACAAGCTATGCGCAGCTGGGCTTTCCACGCGCATCAACCCACGGTTTGAAGAAATGTTTGCGGTCGGTGTGGACGAGATGAGTTGGGATGACCTCAACGAGGAGCACTACAACTGGCCGTCTGTGGATGAAGTGACAGAGTACCGGCGGGCGGTACGTGACCGCATCGATGAACTTTTTACAAACGGTAAGTTCGAACTGAGGCTTCCGTTAACGTTTGAAAAAAGTACACTGAACAGCGACAACTCGTTCTGGTGGGTTATGCTGATGTGCGCCGAGCATGAACGCATCCATGTGGAGACGGCATCTGTTCACGTGCGAGAGCTTCCTTTAAAATACGTCAAGTCAGATATGGCTTGCTTCTGGAAACGATGTCAGGAAGTTAACTCCAAAGCCCCTACAAACGAGCTCCATGAAGTCACTGGCGGTAAGGTGCAGGTTGGGCGCAAACCGGATTCCACGCTATACGGCTGGGATTGTGATTTTTCGAACGGAAATTACATAATTGACGTGCCTACCTTCAGAGCGTCAAAGTACATAGTTTCCAATGCAGAGTTCTTTGCCTTTATGAAGGCGGATGGATACAACACACAACGCTACTGGGATGAGGAAGGGTGGAGCTGGGCTAAGTGGAAGAAGCCACAACACCCTTGGTTCTGGGTGCGTGATGAGAAACGTCCCGATGGTTACGCGCTTCGACTTCAAACGGAATTGATCGATTTGCCGTGGAACTGGCCATGTGAGCTCAACAACCTTGAGGCTCGGGCGTTCTGTAACTTCAAGGGCGAACAGATGGGGAAGAAGATTCGCATGCTGACTGAAGCGGAATGGCTTCTTCTCTGGGAACGTTACGTAGGAAAAGATCAAATGTCCTGGGATGCGGCTCCGGGAAACCTTAACTTGGAGCACTATCAAAGCAGCTGCCCCGTTAACAAGTTTCCCCACGGCCCTTTCTTTGACATTGTGGGTAACGTTTGGCAGCACTGTGAAACTCGTGTTTATCCATATCCTGGATTCCAGGTACATCCGTTCTATGATGATTTTTCAATGCCCACTTTTGATGGTCGTCATGCGTGCATGAAAGGTGGGGCTTGGATCAGTACTGGAAATGAGGCCACTCGTGACGCTCGTTTTGCATTCCGCCGCCACTTCTTTCAATACATCGGATTGCGCTACGTTGAGGGCGTGCCAGCCGACGAGCAGCGCTATTGCCAGAGCGTACTGGGCCTCGACCCAGAAGTTGATGTTATTACAGATGTGAACTTTCGAAAGTCATTTGAGGGGATTCCAAATGGCTGTGCCAAGATTGCAAAGTACGCCATGGCTCAGTTTACGGCTCACGCCAAGACGGAGGCTAAGCGTGCGCTCGACTTTGCCTGTGGAGCAGGCCGGATATCCTTTGAACTGACAGCACTCTTTGATAATGTTGTTGGCTCTGATTTCACGGCCCGCCGCCTTATCCCAGCGTACGCCATGCGCGAGCGAGGTAACTGCACCTACAGCACGGTGGATCCTTCTTCAAATCAGCGTGTGACACATACTGTTGAAGCTTCGGACTACTCCTGGCATGCCACGCGTGAACGCGCCACATTTTTCCAAGCTGATCCCACAAACCTTCACGCCCACATGAAGGACTTTTCCTTGATTCTCTGTTGGAACGCACTGGAAAGGAGTTATAAACCTGCCGACATCCCGCCACATCTGTTGAGTCGGCTGGAGAATGGCGGCCTGCTCATAATTGGCGGTGGCTGTGTGTGGAGTGAAAGTGGCACTCCAGTTAAAGAGCGTTTCTGTGGAGAATCTGCGCGGAAAGAGGGGCTTTCAGAAGAGGAAGTATACAAATTGCTGGGCGGTGAGGCCACTGTGGAGCGTGTTGGGGAGCCAATTGATGTTGTTGTTGCATTTCCAGAAATGCACCATGCTGCGAAATTGAAAAAGGTGCGATTCTTTACCTATCGAAAGAAGTAGGTAAATAGAGTTTTGCCGTCGTCTTTAACTTATTTCCTTTTTTGTGACGAAAGTGAAGGCGTGGCTATATATGTTATTAGTTACTTGCACGATGAAGTCTAAACGATACCCATTAGTGTGGGTGCTCATCGCGTGTGTGTGCGCTGTCCCTTTAAGTTATTAGGGGAAAAATGAACAGCATGAAAAATAACCACAAGAACAAGATATGCTAACGACATTGCGTGTGAACATCGGTTTTTGCCACTCTCTTCTATGATATACCATCAAGGAACACAAAAGAAAATGAAAAAAAAAAACGAACGTCTTATGGCCAGCAAACATGGAGAGGAGCAGAAGGAAAAGAAACTTTCAAAAACGTAACGACACGATGAAAAGAATCCTTCAGCTTTTTTTTTTCCCTTGTGCTTATGCTCCTTGTTTTTCTTTGTTTCTCTGCGTGGGTAATGAAGGGGGCGTCAAGAGTGCTTCCTGGCGAGAAGTCTTTTATTGTGCAAGTTGGTGGTGAGGGCTTTCTTTTTCTTTCTCATTTCCCTATTCCTATGCAAATTCTCTCGGCGACGCCATCACTGTGCCTCTAAAAACACGGAAAGAAAAGGGTTGAAATGCTATTTTTTTTCTTTTGTTCGTCCCGCCTCTCCAGACGACAAGTAAAATAAGTGAAGACACACTGTGTGCTTGCTGAGTTGGCCTTTTGTCCCGTTGCTTTTTTGTTTTGCAGCACATATTGGGCGAGGATCAATAGGTGCGTAGTTATCGATCCGTCCGTCGTCGCATACGGATTTGTGTGCCTTCAACTGCTCTTGCTCTCGCGGTTACCTGTGCACGTGTGTGTGTGTGTGTGGCTAAGGCACCCGCTTCTGGTCTCCAATGCGTCGCGGGTTCCATCACGCTGCGGCAGCCATAAAGGTGCTCGGCACCGCCTGCTGCTCTCCGCTGCGGCACAGTACCGGAAGTGGTGATGGTGGCGGGCGCCGCGCGGTGGAGGTGACACCGCCGCCCCCTCGCCCCGCGTTCTACGTGCCGCCGGAGGAACGTGACCCAAACGACGCGTCGCTCGCATTTCTTCGCAGGGGCGTGCAGGCAAAGGCGAGTGGCAGTAACAATGCCACGGTGGACACAGATGAGGTGCAGCTAGGCAAAGGGCAGTCCTTTGCCCCGGAATTGCATAGTCATCCTCCTCGTGTACCTCATTATATGGATGAAACATCAGCTAATTTGGCCTCAACGAGTGTTCACGCTGGGCGCTCTCTTTTAGCGGAGGAGTATGAGGATACTACAACTAGTCGTCTCGCGGTTCTGAGAAACACACCGCGAAGATCCAAGAAGTCGGGGGATGTAGCTAAAGGGACCCTTCCTGTGTCAGGGCCTGGGAGTTCCATTTTTGAGAGTTGGGATCGGATAGAAGGTGCAGAGGGAGAAAAAACCGCTGCTGGATTTGCTGGAGGACGTGATGTGGGTAGTGCTAATAGTGATCGTACAGGCGAGGGTTCCGTGCCGCAGAAAAAGCCGCTTCTGGAACGGCTAGAGGTGGACCTCCGGCGCCTTGAGTACTACCAAGGAACACCACAGTATTCACAGATCTTGGAAGAATTCCGCGCCAAATATGGCTCTACCAGCAATGGCAGTGATGCCGAACGTGGTGCTGGTGCGGATCAACGCTTGTATAGTCAAGAGGAAACGCAAAGTGGACTTGAGTCGCAGCCTATTGACTACCTTCGCGCAAGCACCAAACTTAAAGTGGAGCTTGCTAGCGGCCCTAGAGCCTACGACCCCGTTGTTGTGATGCAGCAACTCGGTGTGATGCGGTATCAGGGTTACGCCTTCCCTCCCACCACAGAACTAGGGAGCTTGCGCGATAGAGACGGCAAGGTGATTCTGTCAAGTAGTGAGGGCAACATGATTGGAGGCCACTTGCATAAGAACGTTTCCTCTGCTATGAAAACACAGCTTGGAGGATCCCAGGACAATAGTCTCATCTACCGAACACTGGGCTTGGATGCGGTGCAGCGGCGACAGGTAAGAGCCATGCTCAGCGACTTTGACTACTCCGATCGTCACACAGCGTTTCACGTGATGATGTCTTACCCGTACACCGATTGGTTGCACGTGCTTTACATGGTCTTGATAGGTGTGGCGCTTTACACACTGCAGGTGCATTGCAACGCATACGGATTTTATGATGAGTATTTGGGGCTGGATCTGCGTCAGGTTCCAAGGTTGAAGAAACCATTTCTGGCGTTGGTGACTGTTGTGTTCATGTCGGTCGTCCTCTTTCGACCTCTGCTTGTGGCTAGCATAGCAACAACGCGGCTTTACCGCATTGCGATGAAACGCCCCATTGGCCCCCCGTAAGTATTGTATGAGGATTTGCATCTAGACAGTGGCTTTACTGAAGCCTAGCTTCGATGTTGCTGACATGTTGACACTGGGAACTCACTGGGAACTGTGTGCCCTTGCGCGCATGGGATGATTTCGACATTTCTTCCTTGTCTTGCCTTGCTTCTTCTCTTTTTTGAGTGCCGCATGCATCGTGCCGTTACTTCTCTTTTTCCCTCCTTTTTTTTTGTTCTTCACCTTCCCCCTGTGTTTTTGCTTCGTGCACTTCTATTCAATAGATAGAGCGGAAAGAACGGGAGGAGCACGTAGCGTGGTGCTGTGTGTCGGAGTGCGGTGCCATTCCTCATTCCACGGAGAAGAGCAAAATAAATAGAAAACAGAGACTACACTAGAGACCCCCCCAAAAAAAANAGCAGCAGCAGCAGCAGCAGCAGTTAGCAGCACCATGTCCATGCAGCGAGATCTATTGGCTGCCAAGCGGAGCAACTGGGGATCCGGCTCGAACCGATCACAGACACCGGTGCGGCCTCCGTTGGGACCCTCTGCGAAGGGGCGGTCTAATTCAGCGTCAAGCTCGCCTTCGCCTTGCGGGCCTCCGTCGCCCGGTGGCGAGGCAGTGAACGTCGCGGTGCGTGTGCGACCGCCATTCACCAGCGAGTCTGGGCAAGAGGTAATCGTCTCGATGGATCCATCCCTCAAGGCTGTGTACGTCAAGAACAGGATGGACGAGCGGCAGGCGTTCCACGTCGACATGCCGGTGTGGTCCTGCGTCGGAACAGCAATAGATGGCTCCGCCCCGGTGTCGCAGGCTGCCTTGTACGAGGCGGTTGGGCGTCCACTGCTGCACCACGCACTTGAGGGTTTCAACAGCACGCTGATGGCGTATGGGCAGACGGGCAGTGGAAAAACATACACAATGATGGGTGATGCTAGCCGAAATTTGATGACCGATAATGACGATGTCCTCAACAAGACTGAGGAGGGTATCATTCCCCGACTCTGCCGGGATATGTTCCAGCAGATTCAGAATCGCTCCTTCAGTGGAGAGTCAGGTGAGACCGTGAGCTGGGAGGTGCACGTCTCCTTCGTGGAAGTGTACTGTGAAAAAATAAGCGACTTGCTTAACCACAGCGCACCGGTTACTCTGCGGGATGAGATTGTCGACGACGAGACATACTTCTCACTTGTCGGGGCACGTCACATTCCAGTGACGTGTACACAAGACATTTTGAAGGCTCTGAATATTGGCAACAAGTGCAGAAAGACCGCGTCCACATCTATGAATGAGCGCAGTAGCCGTAGCCACGCCATCTTTGTTGTGGAACTTGCCGAGATTGTGTCCTTTACAAACCCAGAGGGCGAAGTGGCAAGTGCGCCGAGCAAAAGCCTCGCCATCCGTCTTGTCGATTTGGCTGGCAGTGAGCGAGTTGGTGAAACAGGCGTTTCGGGGCAGCAGTTCAAAGAGGGTGTGGATATTAACTTGTCATTGTTCACCCTTGGCTTGGTAATCGAGTCCCTAGCCGACCCCAAGCGGCGCAACGCCAAGCCACCCTACCGTGAGAGCACGCTCACAAAGATTCTGAAGGATGCTTTTGGTGGAAACAGCAAAACAACAATGATATGCACTATTTCCCCGACAGAGGCTTACCGCCAGCAGACGATACAGACACTGATGTACGGTTCAAAAGCTCGGCGTGTTGTGAATAAGCCGCACGTGGAAGAAAACCCGTCTGCAGCTGTGCTTCGCAGGGCGACCGAAGAACTGCTGGTCCTGCGTCAGCAACTTAACGAGGCGAGACGTGGCAGTCGGCAGTATCAAGATATTGTCCAGCGTCTGACGCAGGCCGATGAACGGCTTCGGCAGGAGCAGGAGATCTCGCGTCGCCGCAAGGCAGTCCTCGAGAAGAAGGAGGCGGAGCTAGCAGAGCGTTACCGCAAAATGGAGGAGGAGCGGCAGGCCTACGACAACAGAGTACAAGAACTGGGGGCGGAGGTGGAACGCGCCAAGGTGAAGCAGAAAGAGCGGGAGCGGGAGTTGCACAAGGAGCGTCGCAGGGCCGAGGCGGTTGCGGAGGGACGCCTGCGTGAACTCGAGAGCCAGCACGAGACTGCGATGTCTCAATTCAAATGCAAAGAAGAGGAGCTGATGCGCAAGAAGCAGGACACCGAGGAGCGAATGAAGCAGGTGGAACGTGACATGAGTCAACGTATCGAAGGACTTCTCCGCGCCGGGAGCGACCTGGAGGAAGAGCTGCGCGAGAAGAAGCGTGCGTCGAAGAAGCTTGAAGATGAACTGACGGAACTCAGACGCCACTCTGAAAAAGAGACACGGAAGCTGCAAGAGCAAATTATTCAGAACGACAAGGAATGGGGATCCAAGTACAAGACGTTGCAGGAGGAACTACAGCAACAAGAGAAGGAGGCCAACGCACGCCTTGGCGAGGCACTACAGGCGCGAAAGGAATTGGACTTGTTGCAGCGCGATAAGGCAGCAGAGGCTGAAACCCGCCAGAAGGAGGCGACAATGGCCATTCGAAGCAGGGAAATCGTCATAGAACAGCTCGAGAAAGAAATGAAACAAATGTCAAAGCAGCTAGAGGATCAGACCAGCACACAGAGTCTATACGCAAAGCAGGTTGAGTCCGATTTCACAAGAAAAATCAGTGAAATGGAGGAAACTGCCACCCGGGAGCGACGCGCCGCACAGCGCCTCCAGGACGAGCTGCAGCGCGCCCTTGACCGCCTCAGCTCTAAAGAGCCGCAGCATGACGGAACAGAAGGTGACCTGAATGAGGGGGAGGAAAAGCAAGGCCGTGCGCTGTCGGAAAAGGCGCTTGTCGAGTGGGAGGCTCTGCTGAAGCAGCGGGAGGCCAATATCGCCGAGCGGGAGCGCGAGCTGGAGCAGCAGTGGCAAGATCACATGCGCGCCTGCGATGAGAGCCAGCGCGCTGTCGCCGACGCTGTTGTGGAGGTGCGCACACGCAGCGAGGCGGCAGCAGCACTCGAGGCGGACCTCAAGGCGCGCTTCGCAACTATCGACGGCGACGCGGAGAACCTCGCGGCGTGCCTGCAGCTGGGCGAAAATGCGCTGAAGCGACGCGAGGTGTGGGACATCGAGTCGTTGGAGGAGCAAAGGCGAGAGCTGCTCCGGGGGTCAGAAGAAAACGACGTGCGCCTCATCAGGCGACAGATGCAGCTCGACAAGCAAGAGATCTTCTTGAAGGACCGTGAAAAGAAACTCAAGGGCGCGCTGCAGAATGCGAGGACGATGGCAAAGTCGTCCCAGTGGATGCAGTCGATGATCGTCAAAATGGAGGACCGCTGTCGCAAGCTTCTCGTGGCAACACGCCGGCGTGAATGCGACCTCATGAAGCAGCTCGAAGTCGCCACACGAAAATTATGCAGTGTCGATGCCCACTCTAAGGTAGTGGAGATTGTGTTGAGCGGCGAGGCGGCAGTAGCACGCCAAGCAGAGCTGCAGCTGCGCGAAGAGGGCCTTGTTGAGGAGGAAAGGCGCCTCACACACCGTATTGCTGAGTTCGAGGCGCTGCAGCGCAAGCGCGAGGAGGATTTCCGTCGGAAGGATGAGAAGGTAAAGTTGTACCTGCTCGAGTTAGAAGTAATGGACCGTGAGAAGATGGAGACGTACCGCCGCCTGGAAGAGGAGCTTGCGGCTGCACGCGCAGAGCTGCTGCACCGCAAACGCACGCTTGCAGATTACGTCGGCCACGCACGTCAGATGCTGCTGCAGCGCTCCGAGGAGCAGCAAGCCGACTTCGTTGCCGGGCAGGAAGTTGCGGAGCGAGAGTCCATCGAGCGGACTTTCCACCTGCAGGACGAGCTGGAGCTGTGCCGCGGTGCCGTTGAGGGCAACGTGAACAGCGCACAAGAGTTGCTGCGTCTCAAGGAGAATGAAATAAAGGCGGAGGCTAAGCGCTTACAGCACTGCATAGAGCGGCTGCGGGACGACGAGACCCGCCGCCAGAAACGTATCGCTGCTGAGGAGAAACAGACACACGCTTACCTGCTCGAGCTAGAGGAGGAGGATGCTCGCCGCACACGCCTCGCAAAGGAGGAGGGTGGGCAGCTGCTGCGCGAGGCGGAGGCATACCGCGATGAAGTACAGAAACGGGAGGCGGCACTAGAGGAGTATTCTCGCCAACTTCAGAGCGAGGCGGCCGAGCGCGAGAACAAGCTGCAGCAGTTGGAGGAGCGCCTGTTCCAACAGCAAGAGGAGGCGGAGCGGCGACTGCAGGAACGCACCGCGGATATTGATCGCCGCCGCCACGAGGCCTCCACCGTGGCGGAAGACAACGAGCGCACGCTGAAGGAACAGGAGGCTGATCTGACGGCGCTGCTCGAGAAGAACAAAGCAGTGGAGAAACAAATCAAGGAGCGTGACGCCGAGTTGCAGCGTCAGCGCTATCACTACATAGATCTTCGGAAGCTGCTCGAAGAACGTGAGAAACTCCTACTTCGGGAACATGCACACCGCATGAATGGCAAGGAGAGTGCGACACAGCTCACCGACGACCTCCTCGACGTGAACGAGCTCCTTAAGCATGAGCTGAAGATGTGGATGCAGAAGTATGATGTGCTGAAGACCGACGAGAAGTTGGAGTGCGAGCGATGCTCATGGCGGAACAAGCGTGACGCCACGGTTTGTCGTTGCTGCGGCAATTCTCAGTTGGTTTAGAGTTAACAAGAATAGAATTGTCATGCGAGTGATTGTTTTTGCTAGATGCTTATAAGATATTCCCATACCATATGCTACTGCTGCTCCTATTCCTATTCCTAGTCCTACTACTACTACTACTACTACTAGTACTACTACTGTTGCTTATTTCCGTTCACGGAGGAATCCAGCTGCCGTCAAAGTTGACTTGGCTTTTAGATTTCCCACATTTTCACTTGACGAAAGTGAGGTGCCATACCCTCAACAACAACAACAACCAAAAAATAAAACTACAGAACCGAAATGAGAAAGAAAAAAAAAGTAAATAGATAAACAGACCCGGAAAGAAAAGTACTGCGGAGACGAGAAGAACGAGAAGCAATTGCTTTTCTATCCATTTAGATTATGATGTGGCTGATTTTGCTTCCCGCCAATCGCTAGATTGGACGTATGTGATTACAACTTCCATCGTCAAGAGACAACTGAAGTTTTTTTTATTTTTATTTTCCCTTTAAACTTATATGAACGTGAAACAAAAAAACCGACAACAGCAGAGAGGGGCCATCAATGGCTTGCTGCTGGTGCCGCTTCCTGTGGCTGAACTGTGATCATTTTCACGATGCTCCCACACTATATTCTTTATGCACTTAAGCAGACGTACCCTCTCTCCCCCTTCCCTGGTTTCTCCATTGCACCAGATTGACGCTATGAATGAGCGCACGTGGGTGACCCGAAAACGCCGCCCCTCCACCCCACCGCTACTCCTCGCCAGTGAAAACGTGGAGACGACGTCAAGCGTTGTGTATGAGGATCCACCATTTATGCAGCAAAATAACAGCAGTAGCTCCCACTCCCGGTCGCATCACCGCAGCGGCACCGAACAAAGGTGTGCGGCAGAGGCCAGGCACACGCGTTGGTGCCCTGAAGGCGCTGGCTGGCGTGGCGCCGATCGCAAAGCACTCTTCATGCCGTGGCACCGGCTGGAGCAGGACTGCGAGCAGGCGGCAGCGCGGCTGCTAGAGATTAGCCACCGGCACAATTGCTGCCTCACACCTACCTCTATGACGCCAGCAGCAACAATGGTGGTCAACAGTCAAAATTCAAGCCAGCAACCAAGGTTCCAAGCGGAGACGCTTATCGTGATGGGCGGCTCCAAGCAGGAGGAAACTGTCGGTTATGGTGATGGTGAGGATCCAGCTGTAAAGCTCTCTCCAGCACCACAATTGGCTTCATCGACGCGACCGCCTTCCGTGGATGCTCAGAAGTCGAGGCAGCCAGAAGTGAATGCCCTCTGTGAAGCAAGAATGGTGGCAGACAACAATAGCCCGGTGCCGTCCAAGGCCATCACACCGCGGTCAAGCTCCCCTCCTGGGTGGTCCGACGCGCCACAAACTTGGGTACAAGCTGCTTCAGAGGAATGTACACGGGAAGAAAAAGAGGAATGTGCCATATCTCTTAGCAAAGATGACTTTACCGATGCCTCGCCGATTCTGTGCGTTATCATCGCCCCACCTGCTGTTTCTTCAGCTGCAACAATGGGTGATGAACCGCTAGAGACACGATTCGGGCGCAGTTGTGGAAGGTGTACAAGAGCAGTTGTAGAGGAACGGGGACAGGCCCAGGGTGGACCGCACGGTGTCTCTGTCACTCCCCCTTGTTCTACACGATCAGATACGATAACACCACCAGTAACAAGTATTTTCCAGACGTCATCGCCAGCTTCTTCGCCACAACCACCACTATCGCAACAGTGGAGGCCGGTTGAGCGACGGACACCACCGACCTGGAGAAGGTCGATTCTCACACCACCGCGACCAATGAGTGAGCATCCACTCTCCCATGCCGAAGAAAGGTCTCCGCTGACTGGTGTTGCAAGCAAGGGGGGGGCGGCACATAGGTACTACGAGCGGCACGTGTTCTGCACACCACCCCCGAAGGTCGCGCAAAGTGCAGACTCGACGCCGCGTCCGCGGGACGCTATTATTGTGTCGTGGCGCGGGTTGGATGCACATTGTAAACGCACGGGCCTGAAGTCCCCAGTGGTACCTTTGCTGTTACGAAGGGTCGAGGGTGCATCATAACCGATGGTGTGGTTGTAGACTCCCGCTGGGGGCCACATCACCTTCTGTATTGTACGAAATATCATTCTCTCATGAATAAGGGTCGCTATGTTATGCGCGCGTCCGTGGGTGAGCCATTCCACTTCCCCCACAGGCTATGATTCGCGAAATTACACTCTTCTCTTTTTTGTTGGCTTTAATGAACAAAGTACGGAGGAAGGAACACAGTTGACAGTCATCCCCCCCAAAAAGAGTGGGAAACAATAGAGGGAGTTCAACCGGGAGAATGAAGGCACCTGAAAGGACAGCAGTGAATTTTGATTCACAGCCACTACAGGTTGCGGAGAGCCCGATTTGCATTCCCGGTGGAGACGCCGCAGATATCATGGCCGCACATCGAACGTCACGCCACATTGACTTTGTGGATGACGGCAAACTCTTTGAGGGTCACTTCACCCTCCATACAAGGGGCCTGAAATCACTCATTCAACTCCTTGTGGATCAGCAGTCGGAACAACGTGTTATCATCAATGATCTTCAAGATCAACTGAACATGCTGCGTCAACAAACAACAAAGATGCGCAAGGCAGCCACGGCATCGACTGCTTTCGCTTCCCGAAGCAGTAATGTTAGCTCCGGGTCGGCTTTAAAGGAGGTGGACGACCTTCGCCGTCGCGTAAAGCAACTTGAGGGCTTCCAGGCATTGTGGGGGCTGCGCGCCACAGAAGTGGAAAACCTAATAAGCACCTACGGGGATCCTGTAGTGACTCCAGAGGAGTACACGGCATGCCTCTTGAACCTGAAGCCCTTTCGTATGCTGCGAAGTGATACGCGCAACTCCATTGTTACCCAGATTGAGCGTCGCCAATCTATAACCGCACGTACATTGCCCGAGGAGAGAATAGGCAGGGTTCACGGCGCTCGGGATCGCAGTGCCCGTGATGACTCCCGTGGTGCTCGTGATCGCAATGCACGGGACGACTCTCGCAATGCCCGTGATGAATCTCGTGTTGCCCGTGATGACTCCCGTGGTGCTCGTGATCGCAATGCCCGCGGGGATGATCACCATGCTCGTGATGCACGGGACGAATCTCGTGGTGCTCGTGATCGCAATGCTCGTGATGACGCTCGTGAAGCCCGTGATGAATCTCGTGGTGCTCGTGATGAATCTCGCAATTTGCGTGACCGCAATGCTCGTGGCCGCAATGCTCCTGAGGATTCTCGCGGTGGCCGGGAGGAGGCACATTTCAAGCATGATGATGAGGGTGATAATTTTTCGGAACTGACATGTCGCGTGGAGGCGTTGGAGCGAAAACTGGGGAGGGGAAGTACCGCAACACACTCTTCACGTCACGCGAGCAATGCGGCTCCGCGGTCTTCTGTGTCCTCAGGGGAGGTGGTGGACGAGCAAGCACGGGAAGACCTTGAGGAACTCGAGCGGTTTGTTATCCGACGCTTCAAGGAGGTGGAACGATCGCTATCTAAGTCCCGAGACGCCACTCCAGCCTCTGCCACTTCTGCTGCTGGTGTTGCTGCTGCCTCCACCGCTGTGAAGGGCAGCGGGCAGCCCGTCGGGAGGTATGAAAAGTCGCCCGCACGGTACCCCACAGGGCCACCCGAAACGGGTAGCTCTGCCACCAACATCAGCACCAAGAATAATGAAAACAACAACGATGTTAGTGGTGTCAGCGATATGAGGTCACGCAGGGAAAGAAAGCCTCCAAAGGACGGCGGGGTGGTGGATCAGGTCGCCCGAGAGGACGCCTTCGCGGCACTGGATCATGTGGAACAGCTTGAGAAGTTTGTCAACAGGAAACTCAAGGAATTTTCTCTTGCTCTTGGCAAAGGAATGGGGCCTGGCTCCGTGCGTCCTGCTGGGGAGAGCGAAGTTCCCAGCTCTGTCGAGCATAAGCCACAAGGACCGATGATTGACCAGATGGCTCGCGATGATGCTGCCCGTTCGCTCGAGATTGTGCAAGAGCTAGAGGAGGACCTGGGGAGGCGATGGCAATCTCTGGAAGAGCGCCTGCGAATCATTGGTCGTGCGACAATGAACAAAGGGTCCATCGCCTCTGCCACTAACGCATTGATCGACCGAAAAGCACGCGAGGACGCTTCCATGTCACTCATGCGGATTCAACAAATTGAACGGGAAATCGTTGGGTTCCGGCGCTTGCTTCAGCGGCAGAAAATTCCTGCGGCCTCTGAAGAAACAGGACTCTCTGATACAAGGGGGTCTAGTGGTGTCATGTTCCCATCTCCCCCAAAGCTGCAGCGCCAAATAACTCTTCAACCGATGGTTGGTGGTGGCGTTGGTAATGTTGCTGTGGACAACGCTGCGGGGACGGGTGATGCGGAGTACCATACACATATGCAGAATCTGGAACAGGAGGTGGAACTGCGCATGGAAGAAGTAAACCGTGCTCTCGCCACACTCCGTTCGGCGCGACCTAATTCTGGGTTCAGTGAACTTTCCGATGGGAAAGGCGCCCTCCTCGATAATATTACTTCTATTCCAGGCCAAGTTGTCATCAACTCCAAAGAGACTGATGAGTTGGGTCTTATGGGTATGCATTCACCCTTACTTCCCACTCAAATGTCTCACACTGGGTTGTTGGTGATGACATCGCATGAAGCTGCAGGGCAGGGCCCCATAACAAATGTAGGGGAGCCCGGAAAGGCCGATGCAATATCGCTCCGCCCGCCTCAGATGGGCGCCTTTAGTGCCCCACTGGTGACACGCGAGGTGCAGAGAGAGCCACAATCAGCCTCACCTGATGCGCTAGCAATGACCGCCGCGGGGCTAATTCGAGAAGAGCAGCAGCAGCAACTGCTGCAGAAAAGAGGACAACGTAGCGCTGGTTCCGACAGATGGCGAGGTGGTGATGCCGTTTCGCTTACTTTGGAAGATGCCGGTGGTGACGCGACGGCAGCGGAGGTCGCTGCAATGTCACACCTGCTGAGCCTCAAGCAGCTGCGGAGCGAAAGCGCGCGTGTGGCGCCGCGAAGCCGCGCTGGTGAACTCGACGAGCTCCGGTCACACAGCGTGCGCTTGCGTGACATGAGCATGGGCTCCCCGGGAAGAATGGAAGGAGGCTTCTCAGCCGAGCCGAGCGCGCTGGGGCATACCACACCTTGTGTTGTGTACAACTGCGCGTGGTGCGCCGCACAGAAGCGGGCAGCTGCGCCGATGACTGCGCGTCCCTTGCGTTAGTTCTTTCAACAGAACAAACACTTCATGATGTAGACTTGTATGAAAGAGGAATCAGATTTTATCTGCGATCATGTTCAGAACTGAAATACTGATGAAAAAAAATGGCAAACAACACACCAAGAATAAGGGATGAGAGAAAAAGGAGGAGGAGGAGAGAGAGAGAGAGAGAGAGAGAGAGAGAGAGAGAGATGAATGCGTTAATGGCCACTGTGCCGTTTATCATAGCCCTTCTTCAGGAGAAAGTTACACGGATCTGCTTTACACGCCGATTGCAGGGATTCTAGCCGTTTTACGGACGATGTCTGGTGCTGCTTCACTTCCCTCCTCTTGCCTTGGCCTTCTTCTTCACTATTTTGTTGTCTTTTTTCCTTATCTTCATCCGTTTTTTTTTCGCTTATTTCGCTTTGTTTTTCTTTCTGCTGTCTTACAACACACGCAGCTGCAGTGGAAGCACACACAGAGAACAGCAACGGAAAAAAACAACCCATCAAAGATGCCTTCGGTGGACGTGGATGTCACTGCTATCCCTGACATGATTGAGGCACAGCTCACGCTTAGCTATAACCGCCTCACACATCTGGTCCGCCTTATCGTCGATCAGGGCAACGGCCACGACGTAGACATTGATAAACTCACCAGCCGTATTGATGCACTGACGATGGAGAATGATGAACTGAGAAAGCACGTGGAGTCTCTTATGGCAGAAAGATTTCGCAACGATGAGATGCAAAATGAACTAGATGCAATGCGACAGGAGCTATCCCGTCTGTCGAATGCCTGCGCTGAGAACAAGGAGTGGCTGGATTCCTCCACGAAGGCGAATCAGCAGCAGTTTATTGACCTGGAACAAAGTCTGAAAAAGGAGTCCGATGTGCGCACGAATGATCTAGACCAGGCGTTTAACTCCATTCGAGAGCTGCAGGAATTCAACCGCGCAGTGGAGCAGACGATGAGCTTCTTCAACAGCTTCATAGCAATGTGGGAAAGCCAACCGGATAGGGTGGAGCCGCTGACGCGATGTGGACCAGATGGTGGGTTTGAGCACTCTACAACGGAGCGTGTTGAGTATCTGCATTCCCTTCCCGCCTTTGCCGCCGTGTTTGACGAGCTGGAAGTGATGCGCCAAATGCTCCGACATCAAGCTTCTGATGCCCTGACAGCTAAAAATGTTGCGGGCGCAATACGGCGTGTTAGTGCCGCTGAAGCTGCTGCCTCTCCTACAGAAAACAAAGCAACTGCTTTTGACCGCAGTCTTCTTGATAAGTTGCAGATCTCTCTGAATGAGGTGGAGAAGCGTGTGACAACGCTGGAGACCAGGCGGATTCCTGCAATTGAAGATGCACAGCGTCAGCAGCAGCAACAGGCGTCGGACACGACAGAGAGTAATAATAGGGTTACCAAGCTCGCCGACCGTCTACAGCAAACTGAGAATCGTTTACACAACCTAACTTTCCAGGCATCAGATGGGGCTAGCCTTGAAAAGGCCCTTCTGACGGACATCGAGGAGCGTGTGCGAGCCCTGGAAAACACAGTAGAAGGTATCCCGTTTGCAACAAACACTCAGCAGCTGCAAGTTGAAAAGGGTGTCGAGTGTGCCGAACTCCCAGTTATCGAAGTGCCACAGCGGCCTCTCTCAGCGCAGCGGCAGCGCCCGGCGTCGGCAAAGCGCATGTCGTTACCACCCCCGAGTGATGCCACTGCCACGGTGACAGTGGAAGAGGCATCACCGTCGTCGGCATTCGACACCCGTCCGATGAGCGGCAAGGGTGAATTCCCCGAGCTGCCAATCACCCAGCGGAAAGGAGGCAGCGCGAGACCCGTGTCGCCGCGCCACAGTGTGCACTCTTCTGTTGAGCAGCCCAATGTCGAGGCGTATCGTCGCCAGTCCACAGTGACGCCCGGATCGCCGTCACAGGTGCAGGTTCTGGAACAGGACGATGGGCTGCGGCGCCGCGTCGCGCAGCTAGAGGAAAACTCGGCGATACTGGAGATGAAGAAGGCTGACCGCCGCGAGCTGGCTCAGTTGGAGGAGGCAGTGCGGCTGGTGCTGCAGAACCCAATGGGGATGCAGGCGGCGGCCCTGGGGCGCAGCCTTATGCCGCAACGCCCCATGTCTCAGGCTGATATGCGGCTGGGATACGCCCCGGAGAGTGCGTACGCCACTCCCTCGCTGCATGGGCCAAGGAGCGCACCACCGGGCCGCCCGATGTTTGTTGGTGGGACGGCGCATCACTTGCGCGACGCCTCGGGCAACAGAACAAGCGCGACGATTTCTCCGTCACACCTTCAATAAATTTGGAGGCTCAATATATATATATATATATTTATAGATGTACCACAAGTGATAAGCTGGGCGAAAAAAAAGGAGAATGATGATTGAGAACGTTTCTCTCTCCCTTTGTGTGTGTAAGGCTGCATCTGCAATGCTGACGGCGATGTAGAATCTTTAAAACATACAAATTCCACTATATTGTTTAGGAAATTGATCCACTACCGCGAGTTGAGGTAGACTACTGTAGAGGCCCGCGGTGTGAGAGCTACACGTATCCACCGTATTCAACCAGTTTAAGTGTGTTGGTGTTTTCCATGTACCCGCTTCATGTCTTGTTTTCGTGTTGCCTGAGATGTAGAAGTGGTGGCCTTTCAATGCGCACGCTTAGGACGACAAGGTTTCTAGGCGTTATCATGCCATCCTTCGTGTGCTTCTGTGTGTGTGTGTGTGCGTCTTTCTTTCTTTGCGTGCTTGTATCTTTTTTTCTCCCCTGCAATTTCAGCCCATTGTCGAAAGGGCGACCTCACATAGAAAAGCGGAAGGACAACCCCCCACCCCCCCAAAAAAAAAAGAAAAGTGCGGCTTTCTTTCTATTGTGTAAGAGTCGCGCGATGGCCTTCCCAGTGTACATTGCAAAGTGTCGGCAGTGTGGCAACACGCGTCAGACGTATAACGACCCGCGACTCCGGCGTAGTGTGATTGAGTGCAAGGCCGCTTGCTACGAGTCTCACTATGAGTGGGATTTTGTCGAGGAATGCAAAGAAGAGGACGATGTGGTGGGGAAGGAGGAGAAATTGCGTGCCACCACAAGCAGCCTTGCACCTGCGCCTACTCCGATCCCAGTCCAGGCGGCAGAGGCAGAAGCAAACGTGGCAGCGTTGGCGTTCAGTGAGAATGCAACGAAGAGGAATCGCGGAAAGCAACCGAAGCGCTGCATTGTGACGTGAAAGGGCCTTTTGGATTCGTTTCAATGGTCTCTCTCTCTCTCTGTGTGTGTGTGTGTGTGTCTGACTGCTCTCTCTTTCCTCTTTGCTGTACGTCGCAGTCTTCTGTTTCTATCTTTTCTGTGCTTTTTTTTTTGCACGAAAACATCGCCACGCGGTATGCAAGGTCATCGCCTACTGCTATTCCTAAAGCATAGTTTATCAAGGAGCAAAACATTACGCGAAAAAAAAATAACAACAGAGGGAGATGAAGACGATACGCGCTGTGACACTAAAGGCTTTCGGCGGGGCAGACATGCTGCAGGTTTCACATATCCCCGAGATCACCCTGTCGCGCCCCAATGACGTCCTCATCCGAGTGATGGCGGCTGGTGTCAACCGCGCTGACATATCGCAACGCCGCGGCCACTACCCGCCGCCGAAGGGCTGCAGCGAGATTCTGGGCCTCGAGGTTTCTGGAGTGGTGGAGAAAGTGGGCGACGCTGTGACTCGTGTCAAGGAGGGCGATCGCGTCATGGCACTTCTCAGTGGCGGTGGCTACGCTGAGCAGGCGGTTGCCCACGAGGGCACTGTCATGAAAATCCCAAAGGGATACTCCTTTATCGAGGCTGCAGCGATTTCTGAGTCGTACCTCACCGCCTGGCAATCGCTAAAGATTCACTGCAACCTGCAAGAAGGGCAAAAAGTGTTGGTTCATGCCGCTGCCAGCGGTCTTGGAGTTGCCTCTATGCAGCTGGCAGATAAGTTCTTCGGTGCGACAGTTGTTGCCACCAGCTCAGCAGAAAAAGTGGAGTTCTGCAAGAAGTTCGCAAGCGTCGCGGTCGACAGAGCGCCGGATGAGGGGGGGAAATGTTTCGCCAACAAAGTTCGCAATGCCGTGGGAGACGAGAGTATCAACGTCATCCTCGACCCAGTTGTGGGCGGCACGTACTTGGCGGAGGATGGGGAGGTGCTGACGGAGGACGGCAAGGTTGTGCTCCTTGCATACATGGGTGGGCCGAAGGTTTCCTTCGACATGATTCCATTCTTTCGAAAGCGCGCCGCACTCATTTTCACAAAGCTGCGGAATCAAACAGATGAGTACAGGGGTGAACTGGTGGGGAGTTTCGAGAAAGAGGTGATCCCATACTTTGAAGATCGTGTGATTGCACCTGTCGTGCAGAGTACATTCTCTCTCGAGGATGTTGCCGCGGCGCACGATATCATGGAGAGCAACAAAACGTTGGGAAAGATCGTCCTGAAACTGTAGGGGATGGGCAGTCCGTGAAGGAAAGGATGAAGAGATGGGAACAGCGCTGTTTTTCACTGCTTCCCAATCAGGTCTCACTTTTTCTTTCCACACAGCTTCGCTCCCTTTCGTTTCTTTTTTCCAGTGAGTGCGGACATGTGGATAGAGGTGAAACACGGGAGCTATGCGGGGCGCAGGTGTCGTGTGCAGCGAGTGGTGCATGTGGGTAGAGGTGAAACGCAGGAGATATGCGGGGCGCAGGTGTCGTGTGCAGCGAGTGGTGCATGTGGTATTGCTGTTGTAAATGTTGAATTCCCCCTCCACCCCCATCATGTCAGTTCGTTCACGAGGCGGATATTTTTGTTATCTACTTCCACCCACAAGGCCCCATGCTCATGGTGGCGGCAATGCGGCGCACCGCCCAAGACCCACCCTCCGCAATGAGTTGACTCGTGGCATTACCTCTGATCTTCTTGCGCTTGCCTTTTCTTTTTCATCTTCCTCTTTCTTTTGGTTTGTGTTGCTGCTCTTGTGTGCAGGTGGCGAGAGCGGCTGGGTACGGAGATCGGGGCGGCGCATGCTCCTCCGCACGTGTCAGTTCTTTCGAGGTGCCACACCGCGGGAGCTTCGGGCGCAACTGCGGCGTCTCCGGGCGGTAAGCAGTGCAGCAGAAGGGGAGATTTGTAAGCGCCGGCGTCGCGTCCGCAAGGCCCAGCGGGAGAATGCTTCCGCTGCATCCTCATCATCCTTTTCTTCTGCTTCAGCGTCAGTGGACTGCGCCGGCGTGCATGTTGAGTGGCTTCCAAAAAATGAGGCACTGGAGAGCGCGATTGCACTGGCGATCAGCGAGAACCGCGACGCGCGGACGGAGTTGGAGTTCATGCGTCACTTCCTGACGGCCTCGCTCATCTCACTGGCTTCTCCTGTTGGCCCCTGGGACCCGTACGACACAAAGCCACAAGTATTCGCGCTCGATAACTACATCGCCCTCCCTGTTTTCACATCACTGGCGTACCTTCGTCTCTTCTGCAGACGTTTCCACTTTACGGTACGCGACCCTAGTGGGCTGCTGTGGGCCGACGGTCCCGGTGACGCCGCAGAAGAAGAGCGGAAAGGCACGGGACGAGAAACACCGCCATTGCCTGACGTGTCCAAGAGTGACTGGTGGGGGCGACACGTCCAACAGCATCTCTTGGAAACCGCACTTGAGCCCACGAAGCAACCTGCGGCTGAACAGGAAGTCACCACTACTGAGAGCGCTGCTGCTAGTGCTTGCACCTCCTGGATGGACGCAAATGACATCTTTGATGCTGTGGGCGAAACATCACATGAGTGCGATAACAGCACTTGCCAGAAAGTGGAGCACCCCTTTAAAAAGAAGAAACGCCCTTCTCGCACTTGGCGGCAGCACAATAAGCGCATCAAGAAGACGACAGAAAACAACAGCGGCAGGAAAGGCAAACATCCGCAGGGAGGAGGAGTGGAATCGTCATCTGAGGAGAATGCAACACCGAGTCATGATGCTGTTCGTGAGGCGTTTTGGTCTAAAGTTTGCACCACAGCTCCGTTCTCCATTGCGCAGGCAACTCCTCTCCCTATGTTTGGCCCCTTGCTGCGTCCTTTCTTTGTTGGCTACTTCGCTGATGTTGATACCTTACTGCATAACGCCTCTATTGTGCCCGAGAGGGTGGATATCGTGCTCAACCCGTCCTCTCCCATCGAGTTTGTTCTCGCGCGGGAGGCGACGGACCGTGTGCTGCACAAGGACCAGCTGCTGCTGCTGGCCTACCGGCGCGTTGAGAAGGAGTTGCGTGGGGAGTTTCACCGCTTTCTGCGTCATGTCGCCTCAGAAGTGGCGTGGGCGCGGAGCGCCTGCATTCCTTGCCCCGTGCCGGGGAAACCCGACGAGGTGAAGTACACACTTGCCATTTTGCTCCAGAGTGACGACATTGATCGGACGTTTTCGTGCCTCCGCAGAGCGAAAAACCACTGCCTGCTGATGGGACACGCTGACCTGGACGTGCTGCCGTGGGATGCTGCCGCACCGTACGTGCAAGAGGCATCGACGCTCTTCTACGAGCGGGCTGTGGCGGCAAGTGATTACAGCTGCGGTTCACAGAGTGCCCTTGGTGTGTTCGAGCAGCGTGGGCCCGTGCAGACCATCAACGTAGCGCGGCCAGCGGAGAGTTTCTACCACGACCCCACTGCGGCGTACACGGAGGGGCACGCGGTGTTCACTGAGGAGCTGAAGTTGAAGCGGCGCGTGCGCTAAGCAAGAGAACGCGGTAAATGGCTAAGACCCGTAGACTTTTGGCGTCTGCGGCTTGCAGCACAGTTTGTTTCCGTTTTGCCTTTTGCACCTTTTTCTGTGAGCATCTTCGTTTTGTGCTGCGTTACCGAGTGTGATACTGCTGTGTGTATATAACCCCCTCTGCCTCTGCCTCTTCCTCTTCCCATCGCTACCTCTTTGTGGTTTGCTCGTTTTCAAGAGCAGCAGAATTTTCCGTGGACACGTGGCATCAGGGCGAAGATGGCCGCCAACGTCGAGCCGCAATCCAGTTCGCCGCAGTTGGGCCAGGAGGAGACGAACAACCTCGTGCGGCGGCTGTACGACCAGCAGATGGAGCGCGCCGCCAAGCGCGAGGAGGAGCGGTACCGCGAACTCTCCAAGTCGTGCGCCCCGCCGCGGCATATCAACAAGGATGAAGAGGGCGATCTCGTTCGCCGCATATACGACCAGCAGTTGGAGCGGTTCCGCGTGAGTAGAGAGGAACGCGAGCGGCGAATCTACGAGGAGACTCACCGCAATGACAAGAAAATGACAGAGAGCGATATTCAGGAGCAAGTAGACCGCATCTACGCACAGGAGATCGCAAAGAGTAAAGCGCGCCGCGAGGAGCTGCAGAAACGGTACCTGCCAGAGGCCGAGACGAAGAAGATCAGCAAGGCGCAGCTCCAGGAAAGCGTGGAGCGTCTATTCCACATTGACTATGCGAAAAGGGACGAGGAGCTGTTCAAGAAGCACGTGTACCCATATGACCCGCCGTCGTCAAAGATCTCACGGTCGCAGATGGAGGCAATGGCCAATCGCCTCTCAACGAGAGGCAACGCGTAGAGCAGAGTCGACGTGGCACGCATTCATGTTGATAGCACCGCAATGTAAAGACGTGTACTGTAACCCTCTATCGTAGGGTTCACCGGTAAATTTCGAAGAGTGAAGGACCCACCACGACGAGACATTGAGAGAGGCGTACGATCTGTGTGTATATGTGCGTGTTTGTCTGTGTGATTGTGAGTGTTACTACTAGAAAGCAAACGAGAAGGTGATTGAAAGTGACGTCACTTTTTTATTTCAATTGCTTGCGTCGCCAGGGACACATGCAGAAATCCCCACATAACTCGTCTGCCGTTTTTTTTTTCCCCCTTTTTGTCTTGTTCCCTTTGCTCCCCAATTATTACTGCCTTGGACTACTGCTCTCATCTTCATTGGTGTCTTATAAATCCACCTCAAGGCAGAAAGAGCAAAACTCAGCAGCTCACTCATCTGGTGTGTGTGTGTGTGTGTGTGTGTGTGTGTGTGTGTGTGTGGTAGTAGAAGCAGCAACGGCAGCCAAAAGAAAAACCCATTGCAGAGAAAGAGAAAGTCACATTTGTGGAGTTTTTGGATAGTGGTGAAAACAAAAAAAAAAGTGTAAGAGTGATGCTTGCGAATTATGGGCACTCAACAACTGTCAGGATAAACACAGTGATGCCTCTACGAAGAAACAGCCGCAGCGCAACACTGGAGGACGATGAGCCGGAGGTCGCTGGTATTGAGGTAGACCGGCTGTCCTTCATGAACACCGCACTCCGTGCTCTCCCGGGCAACACTCTCCGTACCTTCTTTGCGCCTGTGATGAACATCAAGAGTGTCTTCTTCAGACGGAGGCGTCTCACGGAGAGGTATGCCTCCTCGGATCCGGCAAAGCTAGAGAAAGCATTCCGGGAAGCAATCCGCATTCTCACAAAGGCGCTGGTCGACGCGTCGCTGGAACTCTTTGAAGTTCCTGTGCCGCTTGACGAGAAGGAGCTCGCGGCTGAGCTTAGGGGAAAACTAACGCCTATCTGTTACGAGCCGGGGGCGGTGCTTGTGTACCCTGGCGAATTTCCAGAGAGCATGTTTGTCCACGTTGTCTTGAGCGGGAACGTGCAGGTGGTAAGCTTTCAGCCACAGAGCCGCAAGGGTATCATAGCGGACAGCAGCAAAAGACAATACTTTGTCAACAATGATACGATACGATTGGCTGGATCGTTGGGCCTAAATCCAGAACTCCTTCGTTTCGCCACAACGCCGGCGGAGCCCACCAGTGATGGTGCCAGCGATGTCGCCTCCATTTCAAACCTCTCAACGGCGATTCAGCGCTCGCTCCGACGTGCGTCGCGGATGATTGGTCAACCAACACTCCTGCCTGCGCGCACAGAGTTGTTTCGTGCGCCATACGTCTGCTGTGCCGCTGAAGCACTCGGTTTAGAGCCCTTCCGCCTCGCCACGATTACAGCAGAGGCGACAGCGCCCTCAGCTAGGACAGATATGGGAAACGATATGCGAGTAACTGAGACCATGCGCATCCGTACCACTGACCTACATAATGTCCTTATTAAGCTTGCTTCTGCACAAATGGGAGGAGGTAGGGTTCCTCTTTTCACAGGAGGTGCAACACGGCATCCAACCACTGTGGCGGACTACATCACTGCAGCCCGGGTGCGGTCCATTTCGAGCTATTACCCACTCAACGAAATTCTTATGCGTCAGAGCTGGCTTCTGCAAGATACACCTGCACACACAATACGTGCCCTTGCCACACAACTAACACCTCGCTCGTACCTCCCAGGAGAGGTGATATTGTGCCCCCACACTACGTCCCGTCAGTTGTGCTTCCTGCGCCGGGGCACAATGACTATTGAAGAACCACCAGCGGCAACCTCGAGCGATGCTTGCGCATGCCAGTGCTTGGGTTTACCGCAAAAAAGGAAGGTACTACAGGAGGTCCCAGTGGGTGCCTCATTTGGCGAGCTCTCGGTACTGTTTGGCGAGCCCAGGCACTTCGTCCTTCGAGCACAGACTTCGTGTGATGTTTGGTGTCTCTCTCATCATGGCTTTGCAGCAACTGTAAGGCGTGATGACGCCCTGCGGGGCAGTTTGCTCACCAAGGCTGCCGCGCTGCGAATGCGTTGGCTTGGGGAGCAGAGGTTCACAGAGTCTCTGGCACAGAAGCTGCGTGAAAGCTGTGAACTCTTTCGTGACGCGTCGGATAGTTTTATTCGACTTGTACAGGAGCGGATAGAGCCTGTTGTTTACCCACCAGGAACACTCCTGACGTCGACTTCTTCACGGTGTGGGGAAATGCTGATCATTCTTCACGGAAAAGTAACATCGATTGTCGACGGCGTAGTGGAGTATGGCCCCGGCAGCGTGATTGGCGAGCCCGTTATCATCCTCCACCGCTGGCCGCTTGGTCTCGTCTCCAAGGCAATGGTGGAAGGGTGGAAACTCAGCCGCAATAACCTCCGCGACGCGCTCTACCGTATTGAGGTGCTTCGCCGGCACTCGGGTGAGGTTGGTGCCCACGCGCCGCAGATGATGCAGCGCGTGTTTGCCCCACCTGTTCCCCAGTGCGACGTGGATGCGGTGGGACGCTCGCGGATGCCGTTGGTAGGGCCGCCACCGCGCGGCGAGACATACATGGAGTACGCACTGTGGCTTGCAGAGGTTCAGCTAAAGGCTTTGTGCTTCCGCTACCGTGATTATGTGAAGTGGGACGACATCTCCTACACCACACTCCCTGGGGAGCGCAAGATGCAGTCCATGTCAGCTGCGGCTATGGAGGCAAAGATATTTGCTGGTTCCGACGAAGTGCTGCTGGCCGTCCAACCTGTGGGTAGTGGCGCGAATGCCGCACGTGGAGGAAAGAAATCGGACGCCACAAAAAAGAAAAAGAAGGGTAAACCCAAGGTCATCGCTGGGAGCACCTTCCCTTTTTATGTAAACGCTGCCATTGCCCACCAACCATTTACAAAGCCTGCTTTGCGAAAACCACCCCCAGTGATCAGTGATGAAGAGGATCCCTTCCTAGCGAAGCAACGAGCTTTAACTGCAGCCTGGAAGGCACAGCCGCAGGTCAAGACCATGCCAGAGTTGGAACGGTTGGTAGGACTTGTGGATAGCCGAGATAAGATGCAAAAGGTTGAGTCGAAACAAAATCCACTCAGTGACACACAACAGGAACGTATGGGTCTCATCGAAGTGACACGTGCTGGTGGCCCGGCACCTGTTCATATCTTTCTTCAGGGCCCTAATCCTCGAATACAAATCACGGTTGAGGAGGCTATTTCTGTGGGCTACGTGCTTCAATTTCCAGATACGAAGCGAATTCAGTCGTGTGTCTCTAACATTGATTCTGACGTAACAATGGGACTCCCGCAACACCGACAGCGGCGACGCGATATGGCCCTTGCCCCGAACGAGCGTCACCACCGGCGTTGTTTCTTATTCGCTGCCTCTCACCTGGGAGAAAAGAGCACAGAGGAGATGCTGGTGCGAGACACCGCTACGCAGGAGGCCGACACCAGGGAGAAGGCGCAACACCTCACAACACTTCTTCTGGCGCGGCTTACTGAAAAGCGTCGTCAATCCGGTATGCCCAATTCCACTGGAATTGGAGGAGATTTCAACGTCTCTGGGGAGTGGCGGCGAGGCTCTGGCCTCAAATCAATGTCACGTGGGCTTGTGACTTCAAGCTTGCAGTCGACCCCATCCAGGGAGGTTACCTACTCTCTACAGGAGACCGGGGAGCAGGCGTTTCTGCAGGAGCTTAAGGATAACCCAGAGAAGGCGATGAATAGCATGCGCGTACGGTTTCAGGTGCCTCACGACGTAGCGGAAGGCGAGTCGCTCGAGTCCAAAGCGGGTCGTCCTTCCTCTGAGAATTCTGGTTCACGCAGCGAATTATTTGAACGCCTCCGCCGTATTTCGCTGGCAAAAGATCCGAATGCAGTTGAGTCATCTTCAAGTGGGCCTCCGCCACGGCGGCCGAGTCTCAACGTCGACGACAAAGAACCAGGTGAATCAGTGGACGCACCTGAGAATGCCTTGGCGACATTTTTTAAACAAGATGATGCCCCGCTCTTTATCGACAACTACGGTCAGCTCGGCGTGCCGCACAACAAAGCAACGATGGAGGTCCAAGCGTTCCAATCGGCATCGGATGCCCTTGTCTCAGAGGAGTTGCAGTTTTGTGGAACTCCAGACACGATGTCGGGGCGAGAGCACCTCAGCATTTCTGCTTGGATACCCTCTAAATTTGTCATGCCTAGCGTGAGCGAGGCCACCGCCACAATGCGTCGAATCCAGCGCGATGTGGACGGTCTAAACGCTGTGGCAGAAGAGCAACGACGTGAGAGGCTTTTGGGACGACGCCGTCGCACTGACAACACAAGCGAGCCGTTCACAGACAGTACTATGCTGGCAGAGTACCATCGTCGTGTGGAGGGCTGGACCAACACATACCGTGAGAACGCACGCGACCCATTGTGCTCTGCAAGGATTCCGTCGATGTTGATGGCAGAGGCGGGCACCGACTACCTCGCGGAGGAATTTCGGCTTACGCGACATCAGCAGGTGGAGACGACCCGCGGTGGGCATGGTGTGGAGATATGGCGCGGTGAGATGTGCGCGGGGGAGCGGCGCAACGGCAAGCCTGGATCTGGGGCAGACATGTGGCCCGGCAAGAACGTTCAGGGGGCGGCTGCGAAGAAGAAGTTTGGCCAGCCATCGAAGCCGCTGCAGAACCCGACATCCCATATGAACCACGAAGAATATCAGCGGTGGACGGCGAAGCGGGATGCTGTGTTTGCAGCTGCGACGCCTCAACGGTGAGTGGCTGAAGTGAGTGAACTCGTTTTGTTTCTTTTTAGAGCGATGAGCTGCTTGAGGGAGAGTAGCCGGAATTGTATGTTTTTTTTTTGCATATGTACGGAGTGGATGTGAGATAATTGTAACGCTATGTACACCTATCTGTATGGAGAGTTGCTCAAGCGCAATGCTGTGGCGTGCTATCTGCCCCCTGTTTTTGCCTATTTATTACCGCACTCATTCACACCCTCATACACGCGTCTCTAGTTGATCGTTTCAGGATCCCCCTGACTTTCCTTGTTTTTCCGGTTTTTCTTCCTTGTTGTGATGAAGGCACCTGTGACACACACACACACACACACACACACGGCCGGAAAGCGAATGTAAGATGGCCGACTGTTCTGAGTGGCTGGAGGCGACCACCGGAACAGGTGCTCTTGATGATGACGCCGAGCTGGATGGCTTGGAACGGACTGCAGTGGGGCGGTGGGAATATGACGCTTTGCTGTGCCTAATCGACTGTCAGCACGGCATGTTCCGAACTACGAACACTGAAGGAGGAGGAAATGGCACCATGTCAGCAAACCTCAACACCACTGGTGACACCACCAAGGTTGTGGGTGGGCCGGCTGTGAACACGGAGAGTACGGGAAGTGGTGGCACGGGCCATACAATGGGCTACAAAAGCAGTACGCCTTTCCGGGACGCTGCTCGTTGCGTTTTTAAGTTGTACCAAGATAAGGTGATAACAAGGGGAAAAGATATTGCTGCATTGGTCCTCTACAACACAAGGGGGACGAGCAATATCTACGATTTGCCTGGTCAGTACGTATTCCACCACTTTGCCTTTCTCGAGATCAACTCTGTCCAGAAGCTGGAGGAGCTTGCCGCCGCAGGAATAGTGCCCTCAAAGGAGCATGAAAGGTTTAACGATACAGTGGGTCACGCGCAGGACAGTGAATGTCGCTTGAGCGACGTGCTGTGGGTCTCGCAGCACATGTTCCTGAGTCAGAAATTCGAGACGATTAAGTCTCGTCGCATTTTCCTCTTCACAAACGATGATGTGCCACACCGCAATGATGAGTCGGAGAAGGAGCGGTGTTTGTCGCGGATACAAGACTTGTATGAGATGGGTGTGACCCTTGAGGTGTTCCCCGTCGGTGAGGGGTGTAACACGCATGTTGCCGAGGCTCAAGCCGACAGCTTTGATACAAGCGTGCATCCTGGAGGAACTTTCCGCGGGGAAAAGTTCTGGGAACCACTGCAGTGTAAAGTGGCCAGCATTCTGGGGACAACCGTGTGGGAGGATGCTGTTGCCGTGCACACTAGCAGCGGTCCCCAGACATTCAACGATCTCATGCGTGCAGTGCATCGGCGAGCACACCCACAGCGGTCGCACCAGAACACTCTACTCACAATTGCCCCAGGCGTCGGCGGGGCGTGTGTGCCCACGATGGCAGTGAGTGTGTACTACCCGCTGATGTCAGCAGTGCCGCCCCGCGTAGTGTGGCTTGATCCCCACACCAACGAAATCGTGCGGCGGCAAGTGCAGTTGGTGGAAAAGGGAAGAAAACTAAAGCAAGAAGAGAATGAGAGCAAAGAGAGTGAAGTTTTAGATTCCAGCACCCTATTGCAATCCATTGCGGTGGGCGGCAGGCGTCTCTTCTTTACGCCGCACGAGAAGAAACGTATTGTTGCAACAGCGGTGGCCGGCGCACTCGTTGGCTTTTCGATCTGCTGCTTCAAGCGCGCTTCAGACACTCTGCAGCACAAACACGCTATCCGCAAGTCGAGTTTCCTGTGCCCTAACCCACGGGACGGGGGCGAGGGCTCCCTACGGATGTTTGTTTTGCTCACACAGGTGATGCAGAAGGAAGGAAAGGTGGCGGTGGCGCAGCACATCGCGAGGTCCGGAGCGGTGCCTCGACTTGTCGCTCTAGTACCCGCACCACTTCCCTCGTCCGTCCCAACCAGAAGTCTCCCAGTGGAGGGGCTCGGTCTTTATGTTGTACCGCTACCGTACGCCGAAGACATCCGCGGCGTGCCCTCCCTGACGTGCTTTGGCGCCTCCACGACACCAACGCCAGAGGAGCTAGATATGGCTGCACGCATTGTCTCGGCTCTGTCAGGGTCTTATGACATCGACGCGGTGCCAAACCCATCGCTGCAGCTACACTATAATACCCTCCGGCGCCTGGCGCTTCGGCGTACACATGCAGCAAAGATGGAGGAGCAGGAGCAGGAGCAGGTGGAGAACGTCACTAGTGGGCTACGGACGCTAAAGGACTTTTCGCTTCCGGACCGTGAGGGAATGTCGTGCTACGCGCAGCTTTTTCGTGAGTTCAACGAGATGATCCTTGGGTCATCATACGACGCGGACAGCATGTGTGCGCAGCCAAATCCAAAAGGGACAGTTGGTGTGAAGATGCACCGTACCAAGAAGTCAACAGAGG